ATGGGAGTTTTCTTTGTTGAAATAGCCACTCATATCTTTGGCCAATCTTTTCATTGAATTGTTTTTTTCAGGTGAGGTTTAGAAATTTTCTACACATTTTAGATTAGTCCCTTGTCTTATACGTTGTACCCATTTCCCCCCTGATTAGTATGATCTTTTTATATTTTAGTGAAGGCTTTTTAAGCATTCAAATATTTAATGTTTAGAGATACCAGTGGTCTGAGTTGTCTTCTGCTCTTTGTGAGAATTTAGTTATCTTTTAAAGTGTATTTATTAATGTATGTATATATCAATATGTGATAGTGTATGTATAAGTACCTGGAATTTCCCCCATTTTCTCTCTATTGTTGTTATGATTTTTATATTTAGGTCTTTGGCTCATCTTGGATTATTTTGTACATAGTGTGGACAATGGATCCTATTTAAATTTTCTTTAAATAGATATTGTGTTTTTCCAGCTTCATTTGTTAAATGGATTATCTCTTCCTCATTTAATTGGATTTGGTCATTTGGCCAAAATCAGTGATCTCTGGATGTGTATATTTACTTCTGGTTTCTCACATAAATACCATTGATTTGTGTGTCTGTCCCTGTGCTGATAATAGACTATTTTAATCACTGTAGTTGTATATATTTGCGACCTGGAAATCAAGGTCTTATTTTTTAAAGTGTTTTACTTTATACTGAATCGCTTTCTTTCCATATAAAGTTGCTGATTGATTTTTCCATATTTCAAATTAATAATGATGGCTCTAAATAAAGATATAATGATATCTATGGGACTCTTTGAATATAAATGATATTTGTGCAATGTTAAGTCTTCTTAATAACGAGTATTGCATATCTCCCAGGTATGTAATTATATTTTGGTTTCTTCCAAAAAGGAAGAGCACACTCAGGATGTCTTAAACGGAAAGAACCAAAGCACAACTCCATGACTTGAGCTGCATACTGACATTTTCTATGGACAAAATATTGAGTGATGAGGGAGCATCCCAAGAAGATGGAAATAATACAAAAAGAACAAGTAGACATTACACCAGTTCAGGAGGTAGCATATGGCCAAGAAGTAATGGTACTGAAAGAAGAAGTACAAGCTGCACTGAAAGCATTAACCAAAAAGAAAGTTTCAGGTATTGCTGGAATACCAATAGAAGTGTTTCAAAAAGCTGATGAAGAACTAGAAGTATTAATTCTCCTGTGCAAAGAAATTTGGAAGACAGCTATCTGACCAATTGACTGGATGCTATCTACATTTTACCCATTCCAAAGAAAGGTGACCTAATAGAGAGCTCAAATTATAGAACAATGTCACTAATATCACATGAAAGTAAACTTTTCCTGAAAATCATATGAAAATGGTTGTAGAAAGTCATTGTCAAGGAGTTTTCAGAGATTCAGGATGGAACCAGAAGAAGGCTTGGAGCAAGGGAAATCATGGCTGATGTCAGATGTATCTTGGCAGAAATCACAGAATAACAGAAAGATGTTTGCTTGCTTTAATGACTACATGAAGGCATTGACTGTGTGCACCATAACTAGCTGTGGCTACACTTGAGAAGAGTGGGAATCCCAGAACACTACATTGTATTCATGGATATCCTTTACATGAATCAAGGGGCAGTTGTGTCAACAGACCAAGGATATACTGCATGATTTAAAATCAGGAAAATGGAATTTAGGGATATATTTTCTCACCATATTTATTCAATCTGTACAATGAACAAATAAACAGCAAGGGAAGTTGTGTCACATATGTATCTCGGGTTGTTAATAAGCCTTCCTCCAATCCTAGTTCTTCATTTTCTACATAGAATCCAGTTTCCCCAATTATTTACTGGATTTATGTATATATGAAATCAAAGATACCATGGGCATTACCTAAATCCCACAGTGCCTTGCTTACATACTAAGGTATTGAATATTAAATTTATAGCAAATTGCTATTTTAATATGTAAAACTTTATGTGAAGGGCAAATAATATATTTTGAAATATATGCTTTACCATGTACCCATATGTGTGATAAAATATTAGTCATACTAAACCACATATTTGTAAGCCCTGGGGTCTCACTCTTATTCTCATGATATTTGCAATTATTTCCTCTAACTAAAAATAGCAATGTTTTTCTCAATAGCGACATCAGGTTCATGTTACCTATTGTTCACAAACAGTGCTTGTCCATAATGTTTTTAAAGAACTGTTCTCAAATTTGCTCAAATTTGACAGTATTGTTAAATAATATGTAAAATATATGGGCTCTTAACACAAATATTTTAAATGCTTAATTGTGAAAAATATAATCATCATAATCATATTATTCTAGAGATATATCTAGATTCTGACAAAAAATTCACCGTTATTAAACATTCTCTCCTTATATAAGAATAGTCCATCATATTGTTAGTCATGTATATAGACATTTAAATGATGCTGTTCAAACTCAGTTTATCACATATTTAATTTGTGTGACTTCCACATATATGAGTCCATGAGCAGCAAAGTCTGTCATGACTTAGTAGATAATAAATGTCACCTAAAGAAAGAATCACAACTGGAGAAATAATGACAAATGAATATCATTGGAAAAAGACATTGCATTTGTTGAAGTCATCATGAGCAAAAATAAAAAAGTTTCCAAGAATTAGACTGACAAAAAGTCTCCAAAAATGGGCTTAAAACCCACTAGCTATTGCGAGGATGAGACAGGAATAGACAATATTCCCCTCTGCTATGCATAAGATGGCTATAAATCAAAGCTCAATAGCAACTAACAGCATTTATAAATATATGTCCATGTTTGTGAGGGTAAATCTAAAAATATTCTGAATAGCTATGACTCCAGAAAATGAGCTATGACACACTCTAATGAATTCAGAGAAAAGTTTTTAGAAATAAGATAATTAAAATGCATGCTTAACCTACTGAGAGGCAGGAACCTATTTTGTTCATTACTAGATCTGCTGACCCTACTCTAGTGTTAGAATAATTCAATGTGTTGCCCTTCAAAACCATTTATAACTAATGGATTAATCTGTTCACTAAGGTCAGTTCTTGTGGCCTGTAGATATGCTCATTATTATAAGTGTTTTATTTAAAATTGATAGCATCTATAAATTTTAATCATATTTTGCCTAAAAATATAGCATCTATAAAACTTATTATATCGTTTTTCTCAATTGTTTTCTTATTTTCAGGTATTTTTGGCTGAATACACAGGACCTCTGCTGATATACCTCCTTTTCTATTTGAGGATCCCGTATATATATGATGTAAAAGAGAGCTCTAAAGCATTGCGGCATCCAGTAGTGCAGTAAGTGATGCTGATACCCGCTGCGATACCCCTTGCTTATGACTCCCGGAAGCTCAGAGTAGAGTTATGGCCCCTGAGGTTTCATGGCTGTGGCACTTCAGAAGATCGCCAGGCCTTTTCCCGATGACATATTGGGGAAGGTTTGAATTGCCAACTGCCAAGTTGCAGTTTGCAGTTCAGCACTTTAACTAGTTGTTTTTTCTATTCAGGGAATCCAGTAATATCTATAGTACTTATATTAAGGAAGCAAGGAACTAGTAACCAGATACTGTACTCTGTTATTTAACTTTGTAAGTTCTTTTAAAATGAGTATAATTGGAGCACAATATTTTTAGGGAACCATAAACTATAGATACACAAATGTCTTATCAACTGAGACATTATACACAATTAATTACACTGTAAGTAGACATAATCTTATTTAGTAGTGACCAGTTTTATTTCTCTGGAGTCCAGGTCATGAATGTTTATGTGTTGGGCTGCAACTCACATAGTTGGATGTTCAAAACCACCAGCAGCTCTGTGGGAGGAAGACTGGCTTTCTCCTCCTGTAAATAATTACAGTCTCAGAAACCCCCATGGGTGGCTATGAGTCAGCATTGACTCAGTGGAAATGAGTCAGCATTGACTCAGTGGAAATGAGTCAGCATTGGCTCAATGAAAATGGAGTGAGTGACTGCTACTTATATCATTAGTAAGAGAAATATGAAAATCCATGAATATCATGAAAACAAGCATATTTTATAGTATTAGAATATTGTATAGAGCTGAAAAATACTTACCTACAAAAAGTTGTCATTGAACAGCAGGAAAATGAAGTCCTAATTTATAGGAGGGGTGAAATGTGTATTTTAAAAAGTACCTGCTGAAAGTTGCATTACACTATGACTAAGGTTACCATCACAGCAGATGATACACCTTTCTTTGTTGAAAGTGACAGCAACTTAGAAACATTTACTGATGATGATCAAAGACAACCTTCAATGTAGATTGCACTGCAACAAAAGAAAAGAAAAATGGTCACAAATGGGTCAATATGTAACATTGATCAGTGGAGGGAAGACTGAATCTGTCAGGAATTCCACTTTACAGGGATACACATTCAATGCTATTGAAAGAAATAGTTAAAAATAAAAATGAAATAATTTGATTTGCATTGCACAACCCTACCGCAAAGGATCTCATTAACATTTTAAAAAAGTAAAAATATCTCTTTGAAAACTCTGGTGTACCAGACTCAAGCTCATATATATATATACATATACATATATATATATATGAAAGCTTAATAACAATTAAGGAAAACTAGAGAATTGATGCCTTTGAATTATGGTGTTAACAAAGATCATGAAACATATCATTGCCTGCAGCTTGTTTATGTAGAGAAGCAATGAAAGCAAAGCTTGTAAGTGGAGGCTTCAAAAGGATGCTGGAGAACTAAAATGTTCCACTAATTCATTCAAGTCGTGTGTGTGTGTGTGTGTGTGTGTGTGTGTGTGTGTGTGTGT